ATTTCAGAAGATATATCTGTAAGATCGAGTAAGATGGACCTGTCACCTGTTGGAAAAATTTTTATTAACTTTTGTTCAAGTTGTTGAGAGTTGAGAGACATGGTCATGGTGCAAAAATGAATCAGTGTCTCAAAGTATGAAGTTGAGTTGGTCAATTGGTGCGCTTTTTACTGTCTGGCACACATTGAGCAATATCTATGGAGAATTACAAAGACAAGCTGCAAACATGTCGAGACACAGGATATTCAATCTTATTATCTTAAGATGAATCCTAGATTCTTGCTGAGTTTTGGAAGAATTTGGTCCCCCTTATCATTTTGGAAGAATTGGTGGAGGAGGAGTCGGATAAGAAGGTTCTCAAGTACAAATGAACAGACCACGCATATATGAATAGAAATCATCAAATTTCAATCAACAACTCTTTCTCCAAACTCAGCTCCAAATGCTTTCACATCTACAAAGTGTATATGTACATGCAACAAAAAAGATCGATTTATACTGTATTAAGGCCGGGAAAACAAAAGTTATTCAAGTTCAGATTTCTAAAGGCATAAACTAACTAACCTCTCCTCTACTGCTCGTACAAGATTGAATGCCGGTCATTCTCTTGGAGCCTAAGGTGTTGTTTGTTTTTCATTAAGCAATCTGAATGACTGAACAGTGAACACTGAACTTAAGAGGGTGGACTACCCGATTAAGTGCTTAATTGAACCATTTGGTCTATTTTTTGATTAAGTGATATTCTATACTACTATGCAAAGTGGTTCTGAACTACATCTAACATATTTAATGCTCAATCTTAGCTGCAACTTGAATGGTCTTATTAATACATATAACAAGGAAAAAAAAAATAGACTACATAAAAGTATTTTATGACTACATACATAACAAGGGCCCTGAACCCAAAGAATTTTATCTGTGTGTCGTAGTTGTATGTGGGCCGAATCACAAGATGCCATGTGTGCAAAAAACTAAAACCTATGTATGGGTGCGGTGAACCCTAGTGGGTAAATGGTCATTTCTCACCTAATTTGTAACACGTGTCATCTATTCATTGGTCCCACATGCACCACATACTAAAAGAAACACATATTAAATTTTTTGCCCTGAACCATTTCTTTGTACATATAATTCTCCAGGAATTTCAATTGGGCTTATATTCATAAATCATAACTGTAGGAATTGGG